TCTTTGAGACATTGTTGTAGTTCTGTTTTAAATTTAACCTTTTTATCTCTTTACCTTCCCTTACCCGTTATATTATTTATTGAAAGTCCTAGGAGCATTTTTAGGAGTTTTATAATTAATGTACAGTCACAATAAGCACCTATATATATATATATATATATATATATATATATATATATATAGAGAGAGAGAGAGAGAGAGAGATAATTAATGTACAGTCACAATAAGCAGCCTATATATATATATATATATATATATATATATATATATATATATAGAGAGAGAGAGAGAGACTCCTATATCCGCAGTATAATATCTATAAACTTTCTGTCTCCGATATTAATCAACACCCTCGTTATATATAGAAAATTTTAATCTATCTATCTATCTATCTATCTATCTATCTATCTATCTATCTATCTATCTATCTCTGTGTGTGTGTGTGTGTGTGTGTATTAGTATCCTGTAGCTCCCCCCCCCCCTAGCACGAGGTACTGCTGCAGCTCGACGTGACATCAGTTCCACATTGGTCGCTATACCTCTGGAGAGATGTTGAACTATGTCGTTTCGATAGATGTCAACAGTTACCTGATATATGAAGGTACAGGGTCATGGGTATGAACAGATCCTTCAAACAAGTCCCATACATGCTCGATTTGGCGCATGTCGGTCGAATGTGGTGGTCACACAATTCGTTGAAAGCTTGCCAAATGTTTCTCAAACTAATTCTAGGCATCTTGGGACAAATAACACGCTGTATTATCCTGATGGAATAACTCATAGACGTTAGGGTACATGACATGAATGTCAAATGTTCCCACAATTTCTGAAATAAAATTTCTGATCCGATCATACCCCGCTCAAAATGTGACAAATTACTGTCGGCCTACCATGAGGACAAAACTGATATATATATAAAGAGTTCCATGACATCAACCGACAGCGGCGCCACTTGCCTTTACATATATGTTAATAAAATGCCTTTGGGAATGTCAATATAATTTTATTACTTTAAATGTTATTATAGAGCACATTTCGTATTGTTACTTATTAAACAGTGATTGTATTAAATAAAAATAAGGCGTCAGTTTCAAATACGAAGTATCCAATTTTTTGAATACTTCGTATTTGAAACTGACGCCTTATTTTTATTTGATACAAACACTGTTTAATAAGTAACAATAATTGTAAAGAAAATTTTCTCTGTTTATTTGTGAATAAACATAGGCCGCTCTTTTGTCAGTCAGTTTTAAGATAATACAAATTATATCTAATTTGAATTATTTTAAAACTGACTCACAAAAGAGCGGTCGATGTTTATTCACAATAAACAGAGAAAATTTTTTTTACAATCAGAAGTAAGATACCTTTAGTAAATGACCATTTTCACCTACGAATTTTAATTTTAAAATTCGCAGGATTTTTCAAACTGATACCATAAACAGTTTAAAAAATACTGCGAATTTTAAAATTAAAATTGTAGGTGAAAAATAGTCATTACTAAAGAAATCTTAATTCAATTGTAAAGTGTATATATATATATATATATATATATATATATATATATATATATATATATATATAGTAGTGGTAATAAAGTAGATCCTAGTAATATAAAATATTAAAACTGATCCACAAAAAGAGCTCAATGTATTTATTATTACAGTGCAAATAATTAGTACACAATAAAATCCACAATTACCTAATATGGGGATATATATATATATATATATATATATATATATATATATATATATATATATAAAGCAGTGTTACCTTTACACTGCATAGTAAAAAAAATATTTACGGCTCTACTTTTGTATTAAAAATTGTTTTTTTAAATTAATATTTTGAACGCTGAAATCTTACTCTTCGTTCTTTTACATATATATATATATATATATATATATATATATATATATATATATATATATATATATAGTGGCAAACGCTGCTGGTGGCGCCAGGGGTGGCGGTTCCGCCATAGCCACCGAAACCGTGATATCACCCCTGGTCCGCGGCTGATGAAGACAGGGTATCGCACGTGCTAACACACGTTGTATGTTAATATATATATATATATATATATATATATATATAAATCCAAAATTTCAAAATTAATCAGTTTGTCTGACGATCGCAAATAGCGTGAGACCCAGGTTCACAAACTCGCATTAATCCAACTATATATCTATATATATATATGTGTGTATGTATGTATTTGCGATGATCGGTGATATTATGTATGGTACTGGTCTGAGGTTTATTGTTGAGAATTGTGAGATTAGCGAATTCTCAATGCATTTTTTTTCTTAGTGAATCCTTTTCTCTCCAGATCAGTTTGGTATTTAATAAGTCGAAATTGTACTTAGATATATTACGGTTTGCACCTTTGAATTGTTGTTATATAGTATATTTCAGTATTTCTCATTGATACAAGTATTATTTTTAGTTGGTATTTGTGTTGAAATCACTGCTGTTTTTTGTTATAGCAGTTAAATTAATATTAGCCGACCTAGACTGAGAAGTACTACTAAAATAAGATCTTTCGATCTAGGCCGGTTGATATAAATTTTCAATATTTAAGAAAAAAATGTAAAAACAGAAATGCCAATTCAAATACTTGTAGCCTTTAGAAATAACGTTTGCAATAGCAAGAAATTATGTCTAATTAAACAATCCATTTCAAAATAATTGACAAAGTCCGGATATGAGTTGTGCATTCGTTAAGTAGGTAATTGAGCCTTGCTTAATCATAACCATCTCCTGTGGCTTAAATGGTAAAAGCGCGCTTCAACTTTTGGGGTGGTTTCTCTAATGGAAAAATAGAATAAAGTTTCGATTCCTGTCTGGAGGTTCATTTTTCGTTAGTAGTACTTCTTAATCTAGTCCGGTTGATATTAATGTCACAGCTTAAAAAAAGTTTATTACAACTCAGATACATATACCCACAAAAATAACGTTTGTAGAAATAAGAAATAATGTCTTATTTAAAATTCACACACACACACACAAACGGATATGTGGTGCGATGGATAAATTGTCGCCTAAATGAAGAAAAAATGAAAATAACACAAAAATAATCTTATTTTAACAGATATATTTACCAAAATTACACAAAAATATCTTGAAATACTAAAGAGTAAATTTATTCAATAAAATCGCCATTATCTTCGACCACGACCTCCAAACGACTTCGGAATCTCTTGCAACTTTTTTGGTCGGTCTCCTTGTTTAAATTGGTGAATGCTGTCATAATCCTTGTCTTCATTTCATCTTTGCTGTTATGAGGAGTTTTGTCGGTCTCTCGCACAACTGCGCCCCACACATATTAATCAATGTCGTGCAGGTTGGGAAGTTAGGTGGCCACATGCAAGGGGTGATACAGTAGCAACTTGAAATGTTCGTATTGAACCTTCCGGTACGAATGCCAAGCAGCACAGCATGCCGTTTCCAAATTTCTGGTGAAAGGAATTGCGTCATGGTGGTCTTCTTCTCACAGACGATGCCAGACTGACGTTACTATACTCTGCATTCGACAAATCTCAAAAAACAAATTAAAAATATAAAATGGCGACAATTTACCTATCGCACCATATATATATATATATATATATATATATATATATATATATATATATATATATATAAAAAATAGATTTAAGGTATGCTATATTTATGGTTAAAAGTGCTAAATGTCAGATCATGACTCTCCACAATTTCCTGACCTTTATAGCTCTTAATAGACTTTGTCTTTATGTTGTCTTCCCTAAACCTTGCCCCATTTACTCAAGTTCGATAGGGTTTTACTTAGTTTTCCTATCTCCCTCTTGCCTTCAGTCTGCTCTGTGATTATTTCTTCTCTATGTACCATATCCATTCAGAACGTAGGCGAGCATGGCTCTCCACAATTTCCTGTCCTACGTAACACTTAATAATTTTGTCTTTTTTTTTTATTTCTCCTAAATTTTGTTCCTACGTCCATTTGCACAAGCACGCTAAGTATATTATGCATTGTTTTCTTCTGTCCCACTTGCTGTCAATCTGACTTTCATCTCTTCTCTATGTGCCGTGACTCTTCAGGACGAAGGCGATCATGGCTCTCCACAATTTCCTGTCTTTCGTAGCTCTTAATAAATTTTGTCTTTTTGTTAGCTTTTCTAAACCATGATCTATAATCCATTTACTCAAGCTCACCCAGTAGGTTTCCGTTGTTTTCCTCTGTCTTGTTTCCAATCTGTCTTGTGAGTATCAGATTTTCCAAGCCCTCTTTTCTCGTCATGCGCCTAGAAATTTCAACTTTCTCTTCCTGATGTTAAATATGTTTCCTTTTTGTTTCCAATTCTCTAAAACTTCGTAGTTGCTCACATGTTAGGTCTATGGTATCCTCAGCATCTTTCTGTAGAGCCAAATTGCTTTTGCTTCAAGCTTTTCTTCAAATGTAAGCAGGTTGTCCAACATTCATTGCCATATAGGAGGACTGGATTTCATAAGAGTTCAGTACTCTTTTCTTTCTTTCTAACGAATTTTTCCTGTTTCTTAATACTGTGTTTAGCTTTTGGAAGGCATCTTTCACTATCCCAATACACTTTCGTGTCTTAAATTCCGTCCTCTGTTAAAACTCTTCGCAAATCTTTAAATTGTTGTAATTGTTTGATGTTAGTAACTCCAATTTGTCATTTGCATGTTGGGCTGTTCCTTTTGCCGACAATCAAACATTCTATCTTCTTGCAATTGAGGTTTAGTCCTTACACCTCGCTTTCCTTAGTCAAAGAAACAAACAATGCTCCAACATCCGAGTTATATTTGTAAAAACCCGAGAAGATTAACTGCAAGATGTTGAATACTGGAAGCAATAAATACAATAAATCAAATATTATTGAACACGAGATTGAGTGATTGTTTCGTTTTTACGGGTTATCACCAGGATTGCTGATCAGGATCGAAGTTACATAACTTGGGTGGTCGTACGAGAAATGGGGTTCCAATGTGATATGAACGTAAGCCGAAAGAAATGACTGGAAAGAAGGAAGAAACAGAAGAAGGCAAAAATATCTGTAACGAGAAAGAAAGAAGCAATAAACGAAAAGAGAAACTGTAAATCAGACAAGTCTGAAATAGAAAGAAAGAAAGAAAGAAAGAAAGAAAGGGTAAAAGGCAGAGGGGTATGTAATGAGAAAATAGATAGAAACAAAGAAACAAACAATGAAAGGGAGAACGTGAAAAAGTTGACAAGTCTATAATAAGAAAATACGGCAGAAATAATAAAAGAAGGGAGAAGAGGTAAAAGAAAAATATCTAAAAGAGAAAGAAAGAAAAATTTAATGAAAGAAGAGACAAAGTGTAAAAGGAGGGAGGTCTTGAATGAAACAAAGAAAGATTGAAATCCAAGCCAGAAATTGTAAAATGAGGTTAACTGAAATGACAAAGAAAGAAAGAAAAGAAATAAAAAAAAAGAAAGAAAGAAGCGAAAATGTCAAAAAAGCAGGTTGCTGAAGAAATGAGAAAAGAAGTCAGAAAATGTAAAATGAGGTAGGATTAAAATGACAAAGAAAGAAAGAAAGAAAAGAAATAAAAAAAAAAGAAAGAAAAAAAAAGGAAAAAAAAAAAAGAAAGAAGCAAGAATGTCTAAAAGCAGGTGGGAAATGAGAAAGAAAGACAGAAAAAGTGTAAAAATGAGGTAGGATTAAAAATGACAAAACAAAGAAAAAGAAAAATGAAAGAAAAAAAGAAAAGTCTAAGAAAGGAAAAAAAAAGAAAAAGAAAGAAAAAAGAATGTCTAAAAAGCAGGTGGGAAATGAGAAAGAAGACAGAAAGTGTAAAATGAGGTATTAAAATTAAAAAGAAAAGAAAGAAAAGAAAGAAAAAAAGAAAAGAAAAGAAAGAAAAAAAAAAGAAAAAAGAAAAAAAGAAGCAAGAATGTCTAAAAGCAGGTGGGAAATGAGAAAGAAGACAGAAAGTGTAAAATGAGGTAAGATTAAAATGACAAAGAAAGAAAGAAAGAAAGAAATAAAGAAAGAAAGAAAGAAAGGAAAAAAAGAAAGAAAGAAGCAAGAATGTCTAAAAGCAGGTGGGAAATGAGAAAGAAGACAGAAAGTGTAAAATGAGGTAGGATTAAAATGACAAAGAAAGAAAGAAAGAAAGAAAGAAAAAAGTGAAAATATCTAAAAGCTGGTAGGAAATGAGAAAGAAGTCAGAAAGTGTAAAATGAGGTAAGACTGAAATGACAAAATAAGAAAGAAAGAAGAAAGAAACGAGAGTGTCTAAAAGCAGGTAGAAAATTTCTCAAGCAGGGAGTTTCTTGAATGAGAAAGAAAGATTGAAAGAAGCGAAGAAAGTGTAAAATGAGGAAGGTCTGAAATGACAAAGAAAGAAAGAAAGAAAGAAAGACAGAAAGAAAGAAGCGAAAATGTCAAAAAGCAGGTAGGAAATTAGAAAAGAAGATTGAAAGAAGTAAGAAAGTGTAAAATGAGGAAAAGATTGAAATGACAAAGAAAGAAAGAAAAGAAAAAAGAAGAAAGAATATCTAAATGCAAAAAGCAGGTCGGAAATGAGAAAGAAAAGAAAGTGTAAAATGAGGGAGGATTGAATGACAAAGAAAGATTTAAAGAAAAAAGAAGGTGTAAAATGAGGTAGGACTGAAATGAAGAAAGAAAGAAAAAAAGAAAAAAGAAACAAACAAAACAAACAAACAAACAAACAAACAAACAAACAATGTTTAACAGCAGGTAGGAAATGGGATAGAAAAGTCAAAGAAAGAAGAAAATGAAATGAGGAAGGACTGAAATGACAAAAGAAAGAAAGAAAAGAAAGAAAAAAAGAAAGAATGAAGCGAGAATGTCTAAAACAGTTAGGAAATGAGAAAGAAGTCAGAAAGTGTAAAATGAGGTTGGATTGAAATGACAAAGAAAGAAAGCAGCGAGAATATCTAAAAGAAGGTAGGTCGGAAATGAGAAAGAAAGTATAAAAGCAGGCAGGTCATGTTTGAGAAAGAAATATTGAAAGAGGCCAGAAAGTGTAAAATGATGTAGGACTGAAATGACAAAGAAAGAAAGAAAGAAAGAATGATAGAAAGAAAGAAAAAAACGAGAATGTCTAAAAGCAGGTAGGAAATGAGAAAGAAGTCAGAATGTTTAAAAGGAGGTAGGACTGAAATAACAAAGAAAGAAAGAACGAAAAAAAATGAAAGAAAGAAGCGAGAATATCTAAAAGCAGGTAGGTCGGAAATGACAAAGAAAGAAAGTGTAAAAACAGGGAGGTTCTGAATGAAAAAAAAAAAGATTGAAAAGAAGCCAGAAAATGTGTAAAATGAGGTAGGACTGAAATGACAAAGGTAAAAAAGAAAGAAAAATGAAAAAGAAAGAAAAAAGACGAAAATGTCAAAAAGCAGGTAGGAAATGAGAAAGAAGTCAGAAAAAATGTAAAAAGGCCAGAAAGGTAAATGACTGAAAATGACTAAGAAAAAAGAAAAAAAAAAAAAAAGGATAATGTCTAAAATGCAAAAGGTAGGAAATGAGAAAGAAGTCAGAAAGTGTAAAATGAGGTAGGATTGAAATGAAAAGAAAGAAAGAAAAGAAAGAAAAAAGAAAGAATGAAGCGAGAATATCTAAAAGCAGGTAGGTCGGAAATGAGAAAGAAACAAAGTTTAAAAGCAGGGAGGTCTTGAATGAGAAAGTAAGATTGAAAGAAGCCAGAAAGTGTAAAATGACGTAGGACTGAAATGACAAAGAAAGAAAGAAAGAAAAGAAAAAAAAGAAGAAGAAATGTCTAAAAGCAGGTAGGAAATGAGAAAGAAAAATGAAGTCAGAAAGTGTAAAATGAGGTAAGACTGAAATGACAAAGAAAGAAAGAAAGAAAGAAAGAAAGAAAGAAAGAAAGAAGCGAGAATATCTAAATGCAGGTAGGTCGGAAATGAAAGAGAAAGAAAGTGTAAAACAGGGAGGTATTGAATGAGAAAGAAAGATTTAAAGAAGCCAGAAGGTGTAAAATGAGGTAGAACTGTAATGACAAAGAAAGAAAGAAAGAAAGAAAGAAAGAAAGAAAGAAAGAAACAAACAAACAAACAAACAAACAATGTTTAACAGCAGGTAGGAAATGAGAAAGAAGTCAGAAAGTGTAAAATGAGGTAGGACTGAAATGACAAAGAAAGAAAGAAAGAAAGAAAGAAGCGAGAATGTCTAAAGCAGTTAGGAAATGAGAAAGAAGTCAGAAAGTGTAAAATGAGGTTGGATTGAAATGACAAAGAAAGAAAGAAAGAAAGAAAGAAAGAAAGAAAGAAAGAAAGAAAGAAAGAAAGAAGCGAGAATATCTAAAAGCAGGTAGGTCGGAAATGGGAAAGAAAGAAAGTGTAAAAGCAGGGAGGTCTTGATTGAGAAAGAAAGATTGAAAGAAGCCAGAAAGTGTAAAATGAGGTAGGACTGAAATGACAAAGAAAGAAAGAAAGAAAGAAAGAAAGAAAGAAAGAAACGAATGTTTAAAAGCAGGAAGAAAATGAGAAAGGAGTCAGAATGTGTAAAATGAGGTAGGATTGAAATGACAAAGAAAGAAAGAAAGAAAAGATGGAAGAAAGAAAGAAAGTGTGAATGTCTAAAAGCAGGGATGTCGCGAATAAGAAAGAAAGAAAGAAAGAAAGTAAGAATGAAAGAAGTCAGAAAGTGTAAAAGCAGGAATGTCTCGAATGAGAAGAAATCTATGAAAGACGCCAGAAAATATAAAATGAGGAAGGTCTGATATAACAAAGAAAGAAAAAAAGAAAGAAAAGAAGAAAGAATGAAAGAAGCTAGAAGGTGCAAAATAAGGTAGGTCTGAAATGAGAAAGAAAGAAAGAATGAAAAAAGCCAGAAAGTGTAAAAGCAGAAAGATCTGAAATGACAAAGAAAAGAAGAAAATAAGGAAAAAATAGAATAAAAGAAATAAATCTGAAAGTGTATAATGAGAAAGGTCTGAAATGAGAACGAAGGAACGAGAGTGAGAGAGAATGAAGGATAGAATGAAAAAAATCAGAATGTGTAAAAGCAGGAACGTCTGAAATGAGAAATAAAGGAAGAAAACAGAAAGTGTAAAATCGCTAAGGTCTGAAATTAAGAAAGAATGAAAGAAATTAAGAATGAAAATGTCCGAAAGTGTAAAAGCAGCAAGTTCTGAAATGATAAAAAAATAAAGGAAGAAAATGTCCAAGCAGGAAGGTCTGAAACGAGAAAGAAAGAAAAGAAGATAAAAAGAAAGAAAGATGTCAGAAAGTGTAAAATTAGGAAAGTGTTAAATGAGAAAGAATGAAAGAAAGAAAGGAAAAAGCGTAAATGCAGGAAGGTCTGAAATGTGTAAGAAGGAAAGAAAGAAACAATATAAAGATGAAACATGAGAAAAAGCAGAAGAGTCGGAAATGATGAAGAAAGAAAGAAAGAATAACATAAAAAGAATTATTCAATTAATAAGATTCATTAATGAAGAATGTAATTATCTGAAAAAAAGAAAGCATAAATGAAAACAATCGATAAATTAAGGTAATATATAAAAGAGAGAGAGAGTTAGAGAGAAAAAGAGAGAGAGAGTTAGAGAGAGAAAGAGAGAGTGAGTTAGAGAGAGAAAGAGAGAGAGTTTTTTTTTAAGTTGGGGAAATTTTTTCTCTTTCCTTTTTTCTTATTTCTTCTTTATGGATCATGTTATATTCATTGATATAGAAAAATATTCCTGCATGAATGTCCGTAGATCTTGTACGAGAGAGTCATACACTTTGATCTTTTCGTAATCTTTTGTTTCTTGAAATCATTCTGTCTTCCGTTCTGGCGTATATTTCGCATCAGTTCCCGCCAACGAGTGGGTCAGAAACACGAGAAAAGGTGATCGGAATTTGGCGGGCAACGACATTACTAATTCTAAGCTCTTTGCCATTCGCCATATTTAACTTACTCGCGTAAAACACGTTCTCCATTTTCTTGACCTCAGCGTATACGATTATCGTGTTCGTTATAAGCGCACGCATAAACACACACTCGCACGCAAACAGACACACACACACACATATATATCTACATAAATATATATGTGTGTTTGTTTGTGTGATTACTAACATGTCACACACACACACACACACTCACAGACACACATATATATATACAATGCAATCATTCGAACACAAATATCTCGCAAAAGGTTATCCATATTATCGATAGAAGGCCGAAGCTTTTCTGTGCCCAAATCCGTACACTAGCCTATTACAAAAAGTTTCTCTAAGCTTTGACAAATCGAGCCGCAGTTGAATGAGCCGTGTCACTTCATTTTCCATTCGTCAGTTTTTGCAATAATATTCCAAGCAAAGGTTTGTAATCTTCCAGCTTATTAATCATATAGTCAGCCTATTAACCATACATATTCTAGTTAGGGGTCCCTCACTTCCGGCCTAGTTTAAACTATATAAATATCTCGGGTGCCTCACTAACAAGCAGGAGACATTTGCAGGTCATTTTTTCTTTTCCCCCGCAATTTACATAAATCCATCAACCTCAAGATTTACGGCAATAAACATCGTGCGTCATGAATTCAATAAATATTTCATTTTCTTCATTAAGCATGTTACTTAGTAAATTCGTCCGGAAGACTAGTGCAAAAGCCAACGTAAACATCGCAAATACTCAACGTTTGACGTTGTGTGATATGTAGCAGGCTTGTTTGATAGACTATTGTATGTTCTTCTTTTTCTATGAACCATGTTCTTTCAAGACGTTGGCGATCATGGCTCTCCACAATTTCTTGTCCTTTGCAACTCTTAATAAATTTTGTCTGTTATCACTTCTGAACCCTGTTCTGCTATTCACTTACACAAGATTGCTAGGTAGATTATGCTTTATTTTCCTATGTCTCTTTTGCCTTCAATGTGCCCTGTGAGTATCAGTTTTTCTGAGCCATCTTTCCTCGTTATCTGCCATAGAAATTCTAACTGTCTCTTTGTGATGTTAAGTACAAATGTCCTTTTTGTTTCCATTTTCTCTAAAACTTAACTTTAAAACTCGAATATCTTTCTATATTTTATTTATAAATAATATTTACTATCACCCATATATAATTTAATCGAATTTAGAACGTGGTAGTAAAGATCCTAATATTATTGATTTTGATTATGAATTTTGTGTTGTAGTGACTAGAAAACGAGCTTACAAAATCCACGAATCCAAAAATCACAACAAAAAAACAAAATCCTTAATCCTACCCTTTCAACACTTTTTCTAGTAAACTTGAAAATAAATTAGTTATCCCTAATATACATGATCATCTGAAGCCCACATAGACATACTAGAATTTTTATACACTTACATACGTATTGTAATATTTACGGTTTTTCCGGTAGGCTTTAAATTCGTTAATTTTTTGAAACATCGAATGGATATGTCGTCTCTCCTTGAATACGAAAAGCAGCAAATTATACTAACGTTGAGGTTCTTGAAATTTTTTAATGCAAATTAGTATTTAAATTATTTTAGTTTGGTATTTATGTTATGCTTTAAATAAGATCAGGTTATGAATTTAACCGTTTTCTTTTCATTTCTTAACATTTTTTCTAGTCATGTATGTTGACTTGAAAAAGAAGTAATCCTTTCACGAATAGAGATACTTTAAAGAATCCGGGGCTTTGATTTATATTTTGATAAGATTCGATAGCGGCACTTTCGAGAATTTTGATTCTAAGCTACTTTCTCTTTTAATAAGTGTGACATTCTTTAGATCAAAGTTATAGTTGAATTTATTTATATGCATAACTAATGCATTTGATAAGTTGTTGTGTATAAGATCCCATTTGTGTTCAGAGATATGTTTTTTTTTTTAAATTTCTGCAAATTTCCCCAATGTATTGTGAGGAGCAGTTCTGGCAAATTATTTTATATCTACCTGCTTCAGAATTATTATTATTATGAGTATTTTTGGTTCTGATCATATCCATAATAGTTTGGGATGTGATTGTAATTATTTTGATATTGTTTAGATTAGACAAATTATTTTGGATAGTAGATGTTACGGAATTAGTAGGTAGTATTATGCATCTGTTCTTTGTCATTGTTATTTTGTTATTTTATTAATAATTTTGTTATCGTTTTACCGTCGTATATTTTGTATGCCTTTCTCTTATCATTGTGAAAGAAATAGTAAGGATATTGGAAGTTTTTGAAAGTGATTTCTATGTATATTTATTCTTTGGGTAATTATTGGGGGCTGCAGATTCTTAGTCCTCTTAAATAGAATCCTATAATTATTCCAAATTTAATCTTCTTACATTAGTGGGAATAAAACATTGATAAGGTCATTCTTATTGGTAGATTTTCTATAAACCACAAACTGAAGTTCGTTATTATTTCTATGCTGTTTGATCTCCAGGAGAATGCTAACGCATTTTTAGACTCAGATTCAAAGGTAACATTTATTGAGGATTCAACGTTATTAACTTTGTTGACAAGATCGGGTAAAATTAAGTTTTGTTGATATATTAATAGAGAAGCATCTATATATCTGAAATGAGTATAATTTTGTTGTAAAATATTTTTGAAAGGACCACTTTCCAGAATTTCCAAAAAATAGACAAGCCAAAACGCTACTAAGTGGTGACCCAAGCGGTAAACGAAAATTTTGTCAATAGAAAATTTTATCGAAAGTGAAAAAAACATTGATTAGTGATTAAATGGTACATTTTATGTGTAAGAATAGATTTGGTTTGGTTTGTTTTGTTTTATGGCATATCAACCTCAAAAGGTAATAACCCTTTGACGTTGATATGCCATGAACCTAAATACCAAAAAGTCTTTTTTACTGCCAAAAAGATTTTTTTTTTTTGTTTTACTCAATGGTTTATTTAATGTCGACATCATTTTTATTGCTGGTAATATTTTTCAAAAAATACATTACTAGTAATATTTTGTTTGTAATAATTTTCATTCAGAACTGTATTGCTGCTAATGATTTTTCCTCCAACAATGTATTCCTGGTAATAATTTTTCCTTCAACAATGTATTCTTGGTAATAATTTTCCTTCAACAATGTATTCCTGGTAATAATTTTCCTTTAATTGTGTATTGCTGGTAATAATTTTTTCTTCATCATTGTATTGTTGGTAAAAAAAAAAAACATTCCCTCAAAAATGTATTTCTGGAACAGTTTTTCCCTGAAAATTGCATTACTGGCAAGATTTTTCCCATCAAAATTGCATTGCTGGTATTAAAACCTATTTTTACGCTTCCACATCATCCCGGCACCAGTTTTGGGATCAACCACTTGCCCATAGCTGGGACCCCAACAGGTGCCACAACTCCGGGTCAGGGTGGACCCGGAAACACCAGCAATCAAGTGGCGGTTCCACGTCTCTCAACCTTCCCTGTCAGAGTCATGGCTGTCGGATGCGGTTTAATGTCTTACCCAGGACACGGATGTAGTTTATCGCCATACCCAGGACGAGTAGGAATGGGTAATTTTATTTTTTTTAGTTAAGCGTGTTTTAGTAAATTTAGAGGAACATTTATTTATAAAGATTTTTTTATATATCTAAACTAGTCATATACTTGTTTTTGATTTTCGATGTTTTTAATTTATTTAAAAAGATCACCAGAGTTTGTTTGTTTTTTTATTCGCGAGGAGCTAATTGTTCCAAAAAGTGGGATTAATATTTTACATTAATGTGTCGGCTAGTTTATTTGGGACGTTGCTTATTCCTGATATTAATGGGTCTCATTATGATGTCCGTCTTCTGTATTTTTGCTAATCCGTGTTGCTGTTTTCGGTGGTGATCAATGACTTTTACCAAGAAATTGTCGTCATTTTTTTAATAATTTCTTGGTTTCGTTTTTAAATTTTTGTGTCACTTTTATGACCTTGTGTTTATTTATTTTTTCATAAATATTATCGGCTTTTTTGGTTGATAAATGTGTTTGGCCACAATTATGAATTCACCATCTTTGTTGGAAGGGGATATATGACTGTTTTTATTGTTTGATATTTCTTTCAGGGCTTTCATATATCTGCGGGGAAGTGTGGTTTCATTTCTTTTATTTTCGAGTGTGGTTGTAACATTTTTTCTCTTGTATATAAATATTTGTTACAAAATAAAAACCTTGCATTTTGCCTTGATAAATTCCCTCAGAGGACGAAACGCACCGTCTAAGATAAGATTTCCTTTTGTCTTTATTCATATTGTCCTTTTACAGATATATTCTATCTGTAATTTTACACACACGCACATATGTGAATACAATCAATAGCGTGAAAATGTTTTGGGCCAACTATATAAAATGATTATGCATCTTTGTTTTATGAAGAAGTTAATATTCTTTAGCAGTATTCTTTTATCAGTAGTGTCTTTGAATCTCGAGGATTGGAAAAT